AGTGCTGCCTGGGCGGGCAGACGCTTGAGCGGCCCCTCTGGGATCGACTGGGGCTCCTGACGAGCGGAGGCCCCAGGCTGCGGCCCAAGTGTGGACGGAGCGGGGTGTGTTTGGGCTCAGGCTGGGAGCCTGCAGGTAGGGTTGTCAGGTTTCACGATTAAAAATACGGAATGCCCAGAGAGGCGACGATAAGCTTGTCCCATGCACCATTTGGCAGACAGCCCTCTAAGCAGTTGGCATCCATAACAATCAATCATCAGGCGTCTTCGGCTTCCCTGTCATCATCGCCGTCCCGGTGTGATCAGCATCGCTCACTCCACATCAGACACTGCGCTGAGCACGTGGGGAGAGCTCACTTCATGCACACAGCAGCCGTAGGCGATGGTGCTGCGGCATCTCCCTCATCTGTCAGAAGGGGAAACTGGTGCTCAGGCCGGCGAGGCCGTTTGCACAAGCGGACAGGCATCTGGGAAAGTAGCAAAGCTGCATCTCACCCAAAGGAGGGTCTACCCAGCAAACACCGGTGAGCTGACCTGCACAAGCCAGTGTTGGTCAAGCTTGTTAAAACACAGATTCCAGGGTGGACCTCGTGAAGCGGAATCTTCAGGAGAAGGGTGTGTTTTTAACTCCCCAAAAGTTTTTAGGTTCTGCCAAGTTTGAGGAATTCTCTTCTTACCCGGCTGCCTGCTTCTGAAGCACTGTTTGGGGGGCTAAAATGACTAGGAAGACTGTCCTCCAATCTTAGGCAAGAGGTAGTAAGTCCTAGTGGTTAGGGGTTCAGAGGAGTCACCCCAAGATGTGCTTCTGTGGTCTGTCCTGAATTTCAAATGCATAAGAGACACTGCAAAAACGGTATTCTCCGGAGAATTTGAGCTCTTGCTCTCTGGCATATGTCATCTAAAAATTCTCCACAGGTTTGTTCCTTACCTCCACACTCCCCCACAGTAAGAATATTAAGTGCCTAGGAGTTCTGGAGTCAGGCTGCCTGTTACCACTTGCTGGCACTTTGATCTTGAAAATTACTTAGTTTCTAAAGTTACTTAATTTCTAATCTCCCAATATAGGGAGGCTTAAATGGCTTTGGTGCATGAAATTGCTTAAATACAATAGTTCTAATAGCAAATGGTAAGTAGTACTCAACGAATATTAGCCATTATCATTGTGATTATTGTTAATCACTATATCCCTATTCCCTGGGTATAGCCTGGCCCAGTGGAGGATTCTTAGGAAATGTTTAAGGAGGAAGTGAATAAATGAGAATCAAAAGTCCTAATGCAGTGGTTCTCAACCTGAGCTGCACATTAGAATCACCTGGGAATCTTTTTAAAATCCTGATTTCTGGGCCACATCCTCCGGAAATTCTGTTTCTTTGTCATGGGGTGAGGCCATAACATTAGTAACAAAGAAACAGAATTTCCAGAGGATGAGGCCCAGAAATCAGGATTTTAAAAAGATTCCCAGGTGATTCTAATGTGCAGCCAAGGTTGAGAACCACTGTCCTAATGGTAGCCTCAAGCCCCTGCAAAATCCAGCCCATTCCTACCTCTCACCCATTAATTTTGCAGCCACATGTCCACTTTCAGTTCCTTAAACATGCAAATCTATTTGCCCCTTTGCCTGTGTGGCTCCTTCTGCTTAGACTGTATCTGCTCATTTGAACATCAGTGCCTCTGCTTAAATCACACTTGCATGGAAAGGTCTTACCTAAACACTTGCACACTCTTCTGATCTAAACTGTCTCCCTCCTCCTTTTCACAGCACTCTGCTCTTGTCCCTCAGCCCTTTGCACAGTTGTAATGATATGTATGGATGAAAAGGGGGTTCTATGGAAGTAATCTCACAGGGTGATCTGATCATAAATTCCTGACAGGGTAGGTCATGATGGACAGTCATGCCCACGCATATAATTTCTTTTTTTCAAAAATGCTTTTATTGATTTTTAGAGAGAGAGAAAGGAGAGGGAGAGATGGAAACATCAATGAGAGAGAAACATCAACATTGATCTGTTGCCTCCTGCATGCCCCCTGGCTGGGGATTAAGTCTGAAATCTGGGCACCTGCCCTGACCAGGAATGGGACCTGCAACCCACTATAATTCCTTTAGTAAAAGGTTTGAAGCCAGCCCTGTCCATTGCTCTTGTGCATCTAGGTTAACACACCTTTGAAGACCAGACATATCCCTTAAAGGGGGCAATAACCCTCAAGAGAGCACATAATCTTGTGCCTTGCTTTCTCCCACCTCCAGGTAATCTTCCTTAGTTCCTCCTTAAATTCAAATGCATAAAAGAACTATAATTCCTTTAGTAAAAGGTTTGAAGCCAGCCCTGTCCATTGCTCTTGTGCATCTAGGTTAACACACCTTTGAAGACCAGACATATCCCTTAAAGGGGGCAATAACCCTCAAGAGAGCACATAATCTTGTGCCTTGCTTTCTCCCACCTCCAGGTAATCTTCCTTAGTTCCTCCTTAAATTCAAATGCATAAAAGAAACTGCCAAGCTGTTATTCTCTGGAGCATTTGAGATCTTGCTTCCCAACATATGTCATCAGTTTGGCTAAAATAAACTCTTATAGCCCTAGCTGGATTGGCTCAGTGGATAGAGCGTCAGCCTGTGGACTGAAGGGTCCCCAGTTCCATTCCAGTCAAGGGCACATGCCCAGTTGCGGGCTCGGGCCCCAGGGGGGGTGTGCAGGAGCAGCCAATCAATGATTCTCTCTCCTCATTGATGTTTCTCTCTCTCCCTCTCCCTTTATCTCTGAAATCAATAAAAATATATTTTAAAAAATAAACTCTTATAGAAATTCTCTACAGGTTTGGACATTTTGTGTGTGAGAGTAGTAATGGTTGCAACTCCACCTTGTGCACCACTGGGTCCAGCAACCTCTGAACAACATTGCCTGCCCTATTCTCCCCTCGTCACTGTACAGATCAGCGGTGCCACTCTCTGACCATGGTCTTTCCGCTGTCTGCCTGGAAGGTTAGAGGAGGCAGACAGGCAGCATGAAAGGAGCATATTCCTGAACGTCAGGCCCAGCTGCTCCATCCACTTCCCAGCTGGGTGACCCTGGGCAAGTCACTTCATCTTTCTGAGCTTCATCCCAAATGACCTCGCATGGCTTTTATGAGGAGTAAATGATGCTGGAGGCAGAGTTTCTGGAGCATACTAAGTGCTTGATACATTTTTGCTGTGGTTGATATTGTTAATATTGTTGTTGTTGAAATACCATCCAAACTCATTCTTTTCTGGTCAAAATTCTACTCTTCTTTCAAGATTCTGTTCACCTGTTATATGAGCCAGTATCATTTCATTGCAATGAACTAAAAGCAGTT